AAAAAGCGTTCTTCCGAAATTCATTCAAAAACTTGCTAGTTTCACTTTGATTTTTTAAACTCAAGTAGGATAACTCTGTTCGCAAAAGGTGCGCTTTTGCGAAGAGGGCGCCACCGAATTTTGAGGACACTTTTTTAATTGGCTCAAAGAGAGAAGTGGCCCATCTTGTTATGTACTATCTTTGTCCTTACTCAGCCTTCCGCAGCACGGAGAACCAGGCCACGGTGAGGATGAAGAAGACGATGCTCATGACAAAGTACATGGCAGGGATGGGCATCTCCCCGGCCGACAGGTAGTTGCCGTTGTTGTCCTGAACGATGTCCAGCTGGGAAGAAAAAAACAGAAAAAAAACCATGCTGCAAGGGTATTTTTGCTTTAGTGAGCGTTCTACGACGGGCACTCGCAGCACAATGAGCTCATATATAACTGCCGAAGATCAGAGGTGTTACAAGAGAGAGACAAACACAAAAAAAGGAGGAGGGGAGATAAAGACGATAGATGTTTGATAGGAAAGAAGAAGCAAACCACACCAGAGCACCCGCCAACCACCCAAGGGTATTTATATACATATCATGTACAAAATATATGGAGACATATGGGAGGCGTTGTGGTGAAATCGGGCGCTCATCAAAATAATGAAATCGAAGAAATCTGCATTTTTCTGCAGGGGTGGCAATTTTTGTTGGATTTTTGTTTTTTAGCTTAACATCATTTATGTCGTTTTAAAAACTCATTTCTGGGTGGACGTTGTCGAAAAACATTTAATAAAGGCACAAAAAAAAGTAAATTTCCAGGTCCCAAAGACTCACAAACTTCGGAAGTCACCAAACTTTAGCGGCCATACTTCAGCGGCCATTTTCTCGCTAATTCTACTTCTGAAACCAGGCAAACCTCACCTCTTTCAATCGCAAATATCTCGACTTCTCTTAAAGATGGATGGGTTTTTCTTCCAAATGCAGAACAAATGAGCAGGCTATAAGATGGTATCAATAACTCTATATGCCCAACCATTGACGAGCATCTGATTCAACTGCGTGGTGACACATATGCATGTACAAAATATACAGACATACGTGTATTTATTGCCCTGAGCTCAAACCTGTATCTGTTCTTAGACATTTTAAAGACGCTAAAACACTAACATACTGACAAGATCTTTCCCTGTCTATGGCCGGGTACCCATTTCCACCTGGGTGAAATGAACAAAATTTCCGTGAAAAGCCTCTCCCAAGGGCACAATGTCGGGCCTAAAGCTCCAACCCCGATCTCATAAACTCATGATTATGACTTCAGTGGCCTAACCAGTAGACTACCGACGCCACAACCTCATGATTACAAGTCTGGTAGCCTGACCACTAGGATACCCACGCCACAACCTCATGATTACAAGTCTGGTAGCATGACCACTAGGATATCGACGCCACAACCTCAGGATTACAAGTCTGGTAGCCAAACCACTAGACTACCGACGCCATACACAACCTCACGATAACAAGTCCAGTAGCCTAACCAGTAGACCACCAACGCCACACCTCACAATTACTCGTCCGGTTTATAGCGTAACCACTAGACTATCGATGCCACAACCTCACAATTACTCGTCTGGTTTATAGCGTAACCACTAGACTATCGATGCCACAACCTCACAATTACTCGTCCGGTTTATAGCGTAACCACTAGACTATCGATGCCACAACCTCACAATTACGAGTCCAGTATACAGCCTAACCACTAGGCCACTGACGCCACATACAACTCCTTATTACGAGACAGGTAGCCTAACCACTAGACTATCGATGCCACAACCTCACAATTACTCGTCCGGTTTATAGCGTAACCACTAGACTATCGATGCCACAACCTCACAATTACTCGTCTGGTTTATAGCGTAACCACTAGACTATCGATGCCACAACCTCACAATTACGAGTCCAGTATACAGCCTAACCACTAGGCCACTGACGCCACATACAACTCCTTATTACGAGACAGGTAGCCTAACCACTAGACTATCGATGCCACAACCTCACAATTACTCGTCCGGTATAGAGCCTAACCACTAGGCCACTGACGCCATATACAACTCATTATTACGAGACAGGTAGCCTAACCACTAGGTCACTGACGCCACATACAACTCATTATTACGAGACAGGTAGCCTAACCACTAGGCCACTGACGCCACATACAACTCATTATTACGAGACAGGTAGCCTAACCACTAGGCCACTGACGCCACATACAACTCATTATTATGAGACAGGTAGCCTAACCACTAGACTACCGAAGCCACAACCTCACAATTACGAGTCCGGTATACAGCCTAACCACCGGACCACCGACGTCACCCGGAAAAGAAAGGAGAACTCACGGAGAGGTTGACGGGCGACTGGTACTTGTGCATACAGTTGTGGAAGAAGAAGCTGTAGAGGCCTTCCTCTGCCACAGTCTTGATGTGCACCAGGAACTGAGGACAACAGGTCAAAGGTCAGTTGTTTTTTCAGGCCATCTGCAGGTGAAATTTCTAAACATCCATATCCCTTGACTAACTATAGCAACGATGACATATTTCTATTTATAGTAGTCAGCCTAGCCAACGACTAGCATTAACTTGGGTCCTGAGTGAAAGTAAACACTAGAGCAACAAAAAAAAAGTCCATAACGAGGCCAGCCCTTACGTAAATCCTGATGAGAGTATACACTAGAACGACGAAAAAACCCACTACCAGCACATAGTGTGGAAACCCCGAATGAGAGCAGAGTATTCACTAGAACAAAGAAAAATTAAAACCCCCATCCATTACGAGCCGAGCTCACATCTAGCACATACATAATTCCTGAAAGAGAGTGTTCACTAGAACGAAGAAAAAACCCCCCATCCATTACGAGCCATGAAGAGCTGTGGAAAAGGACAGGACAAAAGGATATAGAAGTAGAAATAGGACTAAGAAAGTGGCGATGGACAGGACACACCATAAAAAAGCCCAAGGAAACATCACACGACAGTCACTGCAATGGAACCCACACGGAGAACGAGGCAGGGGTAGGCCACGGGAAACATGGAGGAGATGCGTGGAAAGGGACATGAGAGAGATGAAGCTCACTTGGAACGAGCTTGGAAGGATGGCCCAGGACAGAGATAAATGGAAGGAGCTTGTATGTGGCCTATACCCTGAAAAGGGTGAAAGGCATTGATGAAGCTGATGATGATGATGATGACGACGATGATGATAATGAAGAAGATGATGATGATGACGATGATGATGACGATGATGATGATGACGATGATGATGATGAAGAAGATGATGATAATGAAGAAGATGATGATGATGATGATGATGACAATTATGATGATGACAATGACGATGACGATGACGATGATGATGATGATGACGATGAAGATGATGATGATGATGATGACGGTGATGATTATAAGCCGATCCCACGACCATCACTCACATGGGTCCTGTAGACGTAACCTCCTGTGGGGAGCTGCTCCCTCGTCATGGGCAGCCACTGCGGCTCCATCTGTTCCGCGGGATTGGTTGTCGGAGCAACAGCCTTACTCGTAGCCTCAGCCACAGCACCCGCTGCGTCGGTCTTCTTCCCCTCTCCAGCTGCAGGCGTGCCTCCCTTGTCTTTCTCATCTTTCTCATTTTTCTTATCTTTCTCGCCGTTCGCTTTTCTGTCTTTGTCATCAACCGTTGTTTCTTTTCCTGCGGTCGCCTCAGTTGTGGCATCTCTCCGCTTCCTGATAACGAAAGACGTGATGGTTACGAAGAATGTTACGTGATTTAGACTTTTCCACCTGCCCAGACACAAACAAACCCACACACCAAACACCCCCCTCCCCCAAACCCAACACACACACACCAAACACCCCCCACCCC